ACTAGCTAAATCCCTAGGTATCTCCTAATGGGCAGCTTTCCCCCTCCTGAGACTCTCTCTGCTGCTTCTTCACCTTTAAAGTAACAGAAGCCTCCAGCTCTGTTACAGACTGCTATTATGTTAAGTCTAACAAAGACGTGTACAGCAAATTGGATGGCATTGAATGTGACATCAGTTCAGAGCCCTGCATGCTTATATTCCTTGTCCTCTTCCCAAAGCCATAACCAGGTATTTTGGCACCTGGTACAGGTCATGTGCAGAATGCTTCCCTATGTGCTACTACATAACACAAATTATTATGTATCATTGTTTGCTTTGGGATTTTTTATTTGAAAGAAGATGCATGTATGATATAAATGAGGATACCTTAAGTACATGCAAATGTATATAAAATCAAAACCCTGATGCTTATGGGTGTTGGCGGCCGAGTATGCCTCTGCTTGTGTGAGTGTTCATGTTTATATCTATGCATGGGTAGCTGTTGGAAGGTCTGAAGGTGCTGAAGAGGAGTGTGTGCTTGCTGGACCATGCGTACATTAATTAGGACTAGTATATGCATTGGAGTGTACTGGTGCACACATGGGACAGCACACACAAATGTCCTGACCAAAGTGGAAGACTGGCTCATGGATTAGAGCACTTGCCTTGCACTAGTTACCAAGGTCCAATTCCCTTCTTTGCTCCAGCTTCATTGGGCAAGCTCCCATCTGTGCAACAGGGAGCATAAGCAGTGCCCTTTCTCCCAGGAGTTGTGGAACATGTGGCTTCTAGCTAGGGAAGTGTGGTAGCAACAGAACCTGGCAAACACCTGTGTTTGATAGATTAGGGCTGATGGAGTCCTTCCTTTTAGCCCCGATCGACTGTGGGACCTCCTGCAAAGCCCACTGCTTCCTGAAGTCCCACCCCCCTTCCATGGAGGGAGGACAGCAGAATGCATGGTGTGCAGCTACCTGAGATAGGGCTGGAGAGTGCAGCTACATACAGAGATTTGGGAGTATCTGCAGCCCCAGGCTGAAGAATCTGGGAGATAACATACTTTTTGGTGGTAAGACCACATGGAACTGAATGACTGAGCTCTGCTCAGTGGATGGAATTTGAAACTAAGTTGACTAATTTTGCCCAAGAGACAATTTTAAAAAATATGTTTCCCCATATAAATACTGTATATTTTCTTGTGTAAAATCATACATGAATTTCTGCCACCCATGCCACAAATTAGCCCTACATCTTTCCTAAGTGCCACTCCAACCCCCTTTCCCCTGCCTAACAGGCTGCTTTGTTTTTTGCTCCCTGCTCTAAGCTCCTTGCCTGATCTGCTTCCTACCTTGGCTCCCTACCCAATCCTCTGCTCTATTTCCTGCCCCCTGCCCTGTTTACCCTATGCTGTCAATTCCTTCCCTGGTCTGCCACGTACTGCACACAGAGGCTGCCCACCCCACTAGTGGCGCACACACAGCAGGATGGCCACCCCTGTGTTACATGATGGGCTTCATTTGGAGTGTGCCTTCTGTGCTTGTATCTATGTTGCCGCGTGGGTATCTATGCATGTATTGCAGTTTGTGTTGTATGCTGCATGTCTGCATGCGCCATGTGCCAATTGGGTGCTGTATGGCTGAGTACAATGTGTGCTCTGTGTGCTGGAGGAGTCAGGCAGTGCTGGCTGTGAATCAGTATCTTTCTCTAAGCTGTGTATGCACGCATGCACTGCATGCCACTGGCTATTTATTGAGCCTCTTTTCTGTGTATGTGTAGGTGACAGTGAGTGCCTGGAGCCACATGTGATTTGGCCCCTCTCATACAAGAGCACTCAGTGACGCTGCACTTCTGGCAATGCCCTTGCTATAGTACTGCCTCTGCCTATCCTGGACAAGGTTAGATCGATTGACATGGAGGATTTACAAAGAAAGCTCCAAAAATTTAACTAAACTTTAACTGTTGTGCATGCACGATTCGGTAGTGATACAAGTGAGCTAATTTGCTCTAGTTTTGACCATGGATGAAGCACAATAAGCTGTGATGGATTATCAGATGCTGTGCAGTCCTGAGCTGAAACTCTCTTCCCCCTTCGAAAGCCACTCCAAGGATACATTTGTCCACACCCAAAGACCTAGCGTAGTTTTTGTGCACCTGGGCTGCATTTGAACTGCTGACCTGAAGGTGAAAAGTAATCGTATCATCATGTTTTCATTAATTTCTGCAATGCAGTTCCTACACGCTTTTACTTTAAAATAGGAAGACTAGATTACAGGTAAGCTAATATTGGGGGGAAAAAATACACACACACTTGCATTGTCTAGGTGAATTGCTGTTACCACAGTAGCCTCCTTTTAATTTCATTTTCAACATGCATTTATTAAATCAGACTTTAGGATTAAGAACAGTCAGAAAAAGTGAGTTTTCAGAGTCAGAGGTGGAGGTGGGGAGGGTCATGCAAGAAGTGCTTACCACTTTTCCAATCAGGTAACAGTTGATTGCTATTGTTTATCCAGGATCAGATCGGTCAGACAGCAAGCCTAGAATGGTTTCACTGATCTGTTCACAATCAACTAGAGTGTAAATGTGTCCAAAAACTGTATTGAAAAAACATCTGAATTAAGTTACCTGAAGGAAAGCATGACTGTAGAAGAGAAGCATAAACTTCCGTAGGTGACAGCCTAGTTCGTCACATGCTATGATTTAGTATAGCATAGCAGCTGATAAAGTAGGCTGTTGCCTATGAAAGTTTATGCTTCTCTGAACCAGTTAGGATGCCACTACTGTATCCTGCCTTCCACTTGCATAAAGTTTAGCACATGCAGAAGTTCTTCAGGATCAGGGTATAGATTATCTGTCTCCTTGCATAAAGGAAAAGAGCTGTGTAAAATAATGCAGGAAGTACTTTTAATATCTACACTACTCATCATTTTTGTTTTGATTAGCTTGGCATCAGCAGCTAATTCATACTTTGAGCATGCATGCAAGTGGAAAAGCATTTACTGGGCCCAGGATGACAAGTGGATACCAGCAACATGTATCAACAGAGAGAAGGGGCATCTTCAAGAAACTAAGGGCATGGAACAAACTGATACATTTGTAAACATTTAAAGACAAAGTGCTTGGGTAGGCTTTACATTGCATTTTGGTCATGACAAACCTAGGTAAGTAAGGAACAAAACTGATTTCTCAAAACACCTAAGGCAGTTATTCTAGCAGTAGTATTCAAAATTTATTCTCACATGCATCAAAAGAAGTTGTCAGAAAAAGAAACTTGCATGGCCTTGTCCACAAGAAATTAGTATCTGCTCTAGAACTTCCAACACCAAGGTTATATTCCTTTCAGAAACCAAGAAAGACTATTTCCCCTCCTAGCCCCTCAATGTCTGTTTGTGGTTCTTTCAGGTATGTGTGATATAACAGCACAGCTTAGAGAAACTAAAATACATTATGGGTTATTTATTAGGGGGTGGTAGGCAGGCAATAAATGAAGATATTATGTGTTTAATGGAGTCTAGAGCATTTTATTTCAAAGTGTACTACACTGTTAAATCATCTCTCTCTTTACTGATTAATAAAACTGGCAATAAGGAAGCAACATGCTCTCTATTTAACACAAGCTGGGACTAGAAGGCATGATTGAAAAAGTGTTTCACTGGAGTTGGTTAGAGTTCTGCCATAAACTTGAATGGGTCACAATTTCACTACAGACCTCACATCTCCCAGCTGCAGCCAGTTCTCAATTCAATGCCCATTTCAAAAGACTAGTTCCTAATAAACACTTAAAAAAAAAAAAAAAAAATCAGGGGGGGCTTGAATACACCACTGCAAGAACCGAAGTTATCAGTGTAGACTTGTCTATTATAAGCAAAAAGCACATAATGAGCCTTTCAGCTTTCCAAACTTATATGGTCAAACCAAAAATTACCCAAGCTTTCCAGATGCCTCATTCAGTTTGCTGAAAAACAACCAAACAAAAATAATTGCAAAATTAAGCCAAGACAACATTCAGTGGTGTTTTTTCAAAACTTTTCTACAGCCAGTTGAACTTATGGGACATTATCCTTGTGTGTAAACTGCAAACAAGAACCTTGGTAAATATGATTGCTAGAATTAAAGTTAAAGGTGAGCAATAACTCTATTTCAGCAAGACTTTGGTTACAAATTAACTTTGCTGGCACTAGTGCACAAGGGCCTACCCTACACATTGCTTCAGGAAGTGGATCCTGTTGCTGTTCTGTGTATACATACTGTATCGGTTCTCCAAGTTTTACACAAGAGATAATATTGTGTAATTATTATTACTCAGGATTCCACATGGAGAGGTAGAGGTTATAGGTAGAAGCAAATGGATTACCAGCTACATAAGCTGCAGATGTTTTCAAAACTGGAGATCTCTTGAAGGCTTTGGTTTAAATGTTTTTCATAAAGCCACTTTTAAACGCTTCTCCTTCCAGATAACTGGATTTCAGTTTTCTATATAAAATATTGAATTGTCACCTGACCCCAACATATATAAGATTTCTTTTAAATCTATACTCTTCTTGAGCAATGTTGTTGCCCAATTCCTTAAAAGAAAAACAAAAAAAAACCCAAAAACCCCACAGCGTAGCATTTAAACATCTTTGTTTGGAAATGAATATATGGACACTGGTATTCTCTATTCCCTTTCACTGAGGCATGACAACATATATAGCAGCTTGCCAGAAGGTTATTCTCCTTTTCTCTGCCACAGAAAAGGTATACAAATTATCTAGTTTTCTGGAA